TATATGGCAACTGGGTCAGTTCGTTCCTTCCTTGTAATAACAGTGTGCACCCGACGACGATGATACATATGGTGGTTTGAACGTTCGTTGGGTGCCGTGACCCATGCATTTTAATTTGGAGTTTTTCCTTTACCTTTTTCATCATTCCTTTTCAATTTTTCATATGTACTGAGCGCCCATGGTGCGATAAGAGAAAATTTTCAATTTGTTGGACTGATGCTGATCGATCAAGGTGCCCATTGGGCGACTATCTCTAATCATAAGGTGTTATTTTTATTCATTATTCATACAGATACAATTAAGATTTAAGAGGCTGCTTGATACCTTTGCTCTGCTAAGTACTTTCTAGCGTCGTCGGGCGAGGATTTTAGAGCAGGCAACATCTTGGGTTTCGGTTTGGGGGAAAGCACATATCGGTTTCTTTTTTTGTGTGTGTGTGTTGGCTAGATTGTGCCTGCTTTTTCATTAGGGCATCTCCAATGTATAGAACCAACCCCATTTCTATACTAAGATGTAACATCATGTGTTAAATTGCCCCCAATGTTTATAACCGGTACTTTTAGAACCAACCCCATTTCTATACTAAGATGTAACATCATGTGTTAAATTGCCCCCAATGTTTATAACCGGTACTTTTAGGGCATGTTTGGATCCCTTCTATAAACTTTAGAGCTATAAAAACTTTAGAGCACTTTAGCTCCATATTGAGCTCTAATACTTTAATGTGAGGTGTGCTAAAGTTTATAACTAACTTTAGACTACTTGTTTTGAGCTTTAGCTCTAAATTTAGAGCTCGAGGAGGAAATCCAAACATGCCCTTAGATCTATAAGTGGGACCCATATATTATTTAAAAAATTGGACTACCCAACTCCTATTCCATCTCTTCCCATCTCATCGTAACCCACGCCCTCCACGCCGCTTCGTTGAGCTCCGGCTAACCCCATCCGCTCCGCTCCTGCCAACGCCATGACACCTCCACTCCTTGGAGGTTATCTGACGCCGCCTCTGCTCTTGTGAGGTTGTGCGACATTGCCTCTTTTCTTGCGAGATCATCTGGTGTTGTTGGATCTTGCGGGCGAGCAGCTTGACACCAAATTCGGTGGACAAGGAGCTGCAACTCGACATCAGGACCTGTCGGCTTCACCACGGCCCGCCTCTATTCCTCGGAGCCTTGTCGCGCCGCCTCTGCTGCTCCACCATGCCCCACCGCTGCTCCCCCAGACCACCACACCTCTTATATAGTCCAGGTGTAAGGTTATAGATGGAATGCCAAATAATATGATATACGGTTTGCTAGTTTGTTACAAGGTGATTAGATCAACACGATTTACTTGGCTTCTAAGACTATCTAGTCGACATCTAACTTTCCAAGCAGTCGATGCACCTTGTTCGGCTTGAGCCTCTATCTTGGCAGGCTCAAACCATCCCATCCTAATTGGACTTGGGGTTCAATCACGCCCCCCCCCTTATTTCCTTAGCCTCCCGCCTCATCTCCGCGACTAAGGGATGTTTCACCGGGCCTACAGGACGGCTCGATGCGACTAAGGCCACGTCCAATGCTATGGCTAATAGTACTAGAGTCCACATTCGCGCAATGCATCCAGCTCATCTTTGCTAGTGGCCTTGTGGGTTGCTAGATTTACCACGCATAAGACTGTCTCCAACAAGGCAACCCATATGGGCACCCAAAGTCAAAATGGGTAACATAGACCCAAAATCAGCCTTCAACAAACTATCTATACGGGAGACCTATTTTGGGTTGTCTGATAGACACAACCCAAATATGAGCATCATCTCTCTTGGAAACCCATTTGCAGAAATGATTCTCTTTTGGGTACTGTTGTTGGATAAGATGCCGAATGAGTATTAAACCCTTTGACTGTAGCGCTACCCAAAGGTCAAATGGATCTTGTATTTTGGATGTTGTTATTGAAGATAGTCTAAAGTACAAGCCACTGCTTGAGTCCACCTTGTAGGCTTGTAGCCAGCCGAGTCATGCGCTTTCATCAGAACCAAAAGAATCTCTCATGATAGAGAGACGATTGAAAAGCAAAATTTATGTTAAATAGAATAGACGTATTGGTCTACATTGAGAATTTAATAACCTCGCGCCTTACTCGTCTGCGTGAATATATATCAACTTTTCAACGAGATCTACTTCCTCCATCTACAAAAGAATGCAATTCTTACCTTTCGAGAAGTCAAATCATTTCAATTCTCACCTCTATAACCACTGGCTGCAGCGTGTGGCTTCTCTGTTTCTTCGCACTAGTCCGTTTGGGCGTGTGGCGGATGGCCGAGACTCCTGCATGCGTGACCCCGGCCGTCCGAGTCGTGCGAGGGTCATGCGCGACCACGCGAGACGCGACACATGGAGCTTGGCGCGCCTGAAGGGAAACGTCCTCCCCTAAAAATAGCCACACGGTCTTCGTATATAAACAATCCGCGCCCCGCCCCGTACCCGTCATCGCAATCGCAACACACAGCAAAGCAACGCAAGAAGCAACCACTGCACCGCCACCAAGCCGCCAAGGCAAAGGCAGCAGCAGCAGCAGCAGCGTCGCAATGGCCCGCGCCTGCATGTTCCTCGTCGTGCTCCTCCTGGCCGCCGTCGCAGTGGCGCCGTTCGCGGGCGCGGCGCGCGTCGACGTCGTCGAGGGCAGGTCCATGAAGTCCGCCGATGCACCGGAGGCCGACGCGCCCGCTCCCGCTCCCGGACCCGACTCCGCCTCGTCGCCGGACTCGTCGGAGGCACCCTCCAGCAGCAGCTCTTCCGACTAGCCGCCCGGCAGAAATCTCGCTCCGATGATCTATCCGACCCGGCAAAACTATTTATTTCCCTCTTGATTCTCTGGAATAATGTGCTGCACCCTGATGGTGTGTGTGTGCATGGGTGCGCGCGGCAAACGCATGCTGGAATGCGCTTGCCTAATTGTTATTATGTTGTTGTTTCCTCTCTTTCCTATTTTATTAAATTTGTTCATGTATATGTAATATGTGTCACCCAATATAATACGTGCTACGCCCTTTAATTTTTTTTGGTGATGACATCATTTTTCAGTTTTTTGAATGAGCAATGCCACACATTATGTATAATCAGTTTGTATCAGGCTATATATCGACATCGGATTTCTGAAATTAAGCAACTTGTATAATAATGTAACGCGCCGGGCATTGTGCAATTAAACAACTTGTATAACCAGCTTCTGAAATGAATCAATCTGTATAATCATTTAATAGGCATTGTCTCTGTTGGGATTTGTCTGCAAGTTCTCCTGGGACATGAGTTCTTCGGATTGGATTATTGCTGTTTCTTTTTAAACAAACCAGCACTAACAATGCTTATTTTTATTGGTGTAGAAGAAAAGTGAAAAAGTTACAATAGTAACTTTAACTCTGCAACCGGTCCGGTAAACACAACATGTGTGCGTACCACAAGCCGCTACATTCAGCTCTCTAGCCACTACAACAACAAACTACCCAAACTTAAACTGGTCACCAAACCGATGAACCATCAACGCCCAAACTTCTGCCAAGCATACAAGATAGCCACTGCTATATATATGCACGGCCAACTGACGCCACGACATTAAATAGAATATGGGACTATAATTATTTTTTAAAAGGTGGGTTAGAATTTAGAGACGCAAACAAACAAGCAAGTGTTGCGACTATCTTACATGGGCGTTACAAACTTTGAACAACTGACTTGAAATCTTGGTTCTAGATCCAAAGTCGGAAGTGGAAATGCTGAAATCCTTTAACTTCAATTTGGATCTATTGCATCCTCGAGTGTGGGATGGATCCACACTAAACCGATTCACAATCAAAGATCAACTTTTGCATATGGGTTTTAATTTGTTCGAAATAGTGCTGTTTTCCTTTAGAAAAATCAAGCTTCACAATATCAGATATTGAAATTGAAGTGAAACCTCAGCTGTGCTAATTGCTATCTTATGGACTGAAAATACAAAACGAATGTACAATGTCTGTGACATAAGTGCGCCCACGGTGATAATAACCCAACCCGAGTAATTTGAAACTTTTCCTTTAAAAAAAAGTAATACGACACTTATAGTGGATGCTATAGCACCTAGTGGCTCGATCATTACTCAATTATTTCTCTCTAGTCTAAAATTTATACTTTTGATTATCCTATAACTCTATGGACTAGCTAGTCATGTGTAGTATTTTCATAGTGTGAAAATCATATTAACATATACATTGTTATTATTGAAACTTGTAGTACTTTGCTATTTGCTAATCTCCACCTTATGCTAATCCGTTTCATCAAACATCATGTATTTATCAGGTGGATCATTCCTTATTGTATAGTAACACATACAGCACTTGCTTACAGCCCATGTTGCAGATTTAAATGGCACCAAAAGCATTTTGTATTATGAAAAGAAGATTAAAGAATTGGACATGCCATTTCAGCTTTGCTTTAAGCGCCAAAATGCAAAATCAAAAGTTGGAACATACATGTCTAATTCCAATGATAATACTATAGCTAGTACTAGGCCAAAATATGACATCACACACAAAACACATCCATATGTTGGGTTGTTTGTAACGCATGAAAATTGGTAGTATTGATGCCACTCAACCAGTTTCCATGTATTAACTTTTATATCTGCTATGCTAAATGACACAGCATGCATTTGCATGAACATTCTAGCATACATGCATGAGGTTAGAAGAACCAACCAAATTTCTTATAGACTACGTCCCCAATAGACTGCATGAGCGTGAAGTGTGGATTCACCAAAAAATAACCTCAGCCATGACACACGGCGCGCATGACCACAAATGAAATTATGTCAGTTGTGGCGTGCCACCATTCTCGCAGTCTTACTCGCCTTCATAACTTTTGTACACACACTCGTGTTATTTGTTAGCAAGGCATCACCTTCTTCTCTAAATCTAAATAAAAACACACCACACCCGTCTCTCATACCATTGAGTGATTTGCTATTAGAAGACACTTCAATAGACAATGGCGCACAACCTCGTTGTCACATTGTTCATTCTAGCGGTCAATGTCGCCGCGGTGGCGACACCATTCGTCTATGCGACCAAATCTCCGGCGAGCACAATAGCCAAGGAGGACGAAGCAACCAAAGAAGGGGATGCAACCGCCAAGGCACCCAAGCCGCCACCAAGGGGTCTGCCAAGGACCACAAAGCAGAAGCTAAAGGGATGCGCCCACCACGGCAACCGATGTAGCCACCAAAGGGTCTGCCAAGGACCACAAAGAAGACACTAAGGGGGATGCGGCCGCCAAGGCGCCTGAAGCAGCCACCAAGGGGTATGCCATGGTCCCCAAAACAGATGCCAAAGGGGTTGCTGCAAAAGGGTCCGGAGCACCCATGTCATGGCCGGATGGGGGGCCTAAGTTCGTCCAAATGGTCATCAAGAACCCCTTCTTGAAAACCACACCACCATCAAGTGATGGCCTCCCCATTGACCCGACTCCAGAAGGTAGCATGACCTAAAAAGCAAAATTATGATCGACCAAATATTAAGGTAAGAATACGGAGGTATTATGATGTTTCTATATTACATTTGGTTTAACTTCTCTAGTATGTTGAGAGTATTTGAGTAGGATTAGGAATATTTGTACCATGATAACATTTTGCACGTTTAATTAATTCCATGTTTTATTTTACTAGTATATATAAAGAGAAGGTTCAATTATGCCTTTTTATATTGATTTTATACGATGTGATTTGTTGGTTGCTAAGCCTTGGTGTCTGTGATGCTGCAACTCCTATTGACACCATTTGAGGCTTATTTGAGCAATTACATTTATGCAAAATATTGCTTATGTGTTTGGTTAGGTGTCTAGGGACTTATTTGTGATAATATACAGCTTTGGGGACATTTTTCAAAGTGTTCCAGCCAGCCCAAAAAGGGCATCCCGAGCTCCCTCTCCCTCTTGTGGTGCTTGTTCTTCTCCTTCTGGGGTTAAGAGAGGGATCTGAAATATTTGAGGGGTGAGACTTTGGTCCCCGACACTCCCCAACTTTGTTGGCTCGCACCTTTTGTATTTTTGTATTTACAGTGGATTGCTTGCTTGTCATTGCCTATGCTTTTTCCCACAAGCGGTTCCCAAGCAAATCCTTGCGTGTACGTGTGATTCGGTATTCCTCTTACGATATGAGTTGATTGGTTCCCATCTTGCTTTCTACCTGTGCCGTTTGTTGAAGATTGGATAAATTTGCTCATGGTAGCTGGATTGACATACGAGGCATATGTGTTTTTTGATGTGTTGTTGATCTGCGGTGGGAATAGTTGTTGGAAATACTTTGTGTACAAGTCACATGCAAAAATTAAACAAGTCTTGATCTATGATTTTCGTGTTCGTGGTCTATGCTAATAACTTCCAGACTTATGCCCGGAAGTCCGGACCTCCGAAACGTCCAAAGAAATATCTTGAGGTTCTAGACTTCGCTACATCCTTAAAGTTTGGGTGTTAATTTTTGGTTCCTATTTATTCAGCTGCCCCCGTTTGTCCTATATACAGTGTCTGTGAGGATGGCTCAGATTTACGCACATATTTAGAGGATATTTTGGATTCAAAGTTAGTACTCAATTTTGCTAAACGGAGCCCTCTTGTATGGTATTGCCCTGTGGGCATTTTGTTGGAGGGTTTGTGGGCGTCACAAAATGCCACAAAAAATACATGGGTTGCATGTTGACATTATGGTCCCGTTCGGCTTGCTGAATCTTGGCTGAAAAACATTGTTCTGGCTGAAATGTTGTGAGAAAAAAATATTGTTTCGGCTGAAAAAAAAAAGCGAACATTTAATATATAACGTATATGACAAACTAATGAGCTTAATGAGTGTACTATGTTTAATTTTATGTATGGATTAATTATCTCCACATATTTGCAATTCTAAAAAAACGCAGGGAGAACTATTATATTTTTTCTATATTACAAAATAATTCGAACACAAACTGAACAAGAAGCCTGCCAGTCCTCCGAATTCCGAATCCACGCCGTGTGGGCAGTGGCGAGCCCTCCCATTTTTTTCGCATTTGGTACTCGTATGTCGTAGTACTAGTCCATCACGCGCGCCCTCGCACGCGTCGGCAGTCAGTTGGAAATGCAATCATAGAAGTGAAAGCAAAATACACCATGAAGCACTGCATAACTGCTGCAACTTATATAGAAGCAAACGGCATAGTAAGTATCAATAAGTGGTAACCGAAAAATTGGACCTACATCGATAAGAAGCCTCGGAAATATTTATGTAATAGTTTTAGCGAAGCACAAACCAGACCGTAAACCATCCAATACTGGCATGTTTGCCGAGAAGAGAACCAACAGAAAGGAAACATGACAATATAGAGGACACCACACTGTAAACCATCCACTACTAACTTCATAGGTCACATTTATTGCTTGAAACAGTAACTGCAGAGGACATCACATTGTAAACCATCCAGTACTAACTTCTTTGCCAGGAAGGGAACCAACAAGAAGGAAACATCGCAATACAGTTTGAAAACTTAGCTAAACACTTCAAAGTCACACTCATAAATCACATTTATCTTTTGCAATTAATGGAATTACAGTTATTGGAATTAAGAAGCAGAACCATAGCGCATAGATGTAGAATTGTGTACCATTAAAGTTACCAAGCTGACCTTCTCTTGTGAATGTGGCCTAGATGGTAGGCTTTCTTCCATACTCTGCAACTGGACATAAGTTCCTCCAATACTTTTTTTTGTTCCCTTTTTTCTCACCGACCTGCAGAATATGTAAATGTATCCATCACCTTCTTTTTTTTTTTTACAGAAAGCAAAATCCTACAAATGAGAAAAAGGTAGGATACAGGGATGCAGAAATTAGAAGTATACCTAATATTTTTAGGCTAAATAAAGTCTACATCAGAATCCATGGCTGGACCGAAGCAAATAAAATACTTGATGAGGAAATAAGACAATTTAGTTGGTCTCAAAACAAATTTTTTGAAGAAAAAAAGTAGACCCGATTATGTTTTTGAAGTAATTGAATAAAAAAACAGTTCAGATCATTCATAGATTCACGCGGACAGCCACTCAATTTGTTGGGAACACGCGTGTTTCGAATATAACGATCCCAAGAATGACAACCGATAGGTCCAACTGTATTTTTTTTCTATCTGCAATCTTATGTTAGTAAACCTAAGGAATTGAGACATATTTGTCAAACTCCTAGAACCTTTTTTTCGAGTGCCAGCATAGGAGGTGTTCACTGGTATGAACTGAAAATTTTAGCCGGCTGGTTCTCCTCTCATTGCACTGTTCATCAAACCAGCCAACAATGTTTCTCTCTCACAACAATTCAGCTGGAACCGTGTTTTTCAGCCAAGTTTCAGACCAGCGAATGGGGCCATAAAGGCATATTTGCACAACCAAGATATAACTATATTGTTACATGGGTTAGCTTGTTCTCCTCCGTCATGTGGACTACATCGTGGTTGTATATACCCAATGAAACAAGCAAATGATCAAAATCTGTTGGATGGCATGAGGGAAGAGACCAAAGTAGCTCAGCTCTGTAGTGCTGTCTGGTAGCGTAAGCAGCAACCCACGGCCGGTCGCCACCACGGCACCATGCGACCGGCACCCTTCACCGCCTCCCACCGACGTCTGGGCCCTCATCCTCCACGTCACCGATCCGCGACGCTCCCTCCTCCCTTTCCCGCCCGAGCCACCTCAGCGATCCGCGTCGATCTGCATCCCGTTCGTCCACCGGAACGGCCGAACCCCATCGCACCCCTCCACGCCAGCGATCCGCGGCTCGCACCCTCCCACCAATCGCGTCTCACCGCCCACCCCCTATAAAGCCGCGCCCCCAGCAGGCTTGTTCCTCCCATTATTCCAGCAACAATATATCCCCAAGCACCCACCGCCACACCCAGCCCGCCGAGAAGAAGCTCGATCCCGAACCCACCGCCCGATCCCGATGGCACCCAAGGCCGAGAAGAAGCCCGCCGCGAAGAAGCCGGCGGAGGAGGAGCCGGCGACGGAGAAGGCGGAGAAGGCCCCGGCGGGGAAGAAGCCGAAGGCCGAGAAGCGGCTCCCGGCGGGCAAGTCCGCCGGCAAGGATGGCGGCGAGAAGAAGGGCAAGAAGAGGGCGAAGAAGTCGGTGGAGTCGTACAAGATCTACATCTTCAAGGTGCTGAAGCAGGTGCACCCGGACATCGGCATCTCGTCCAAGGCCATGTCCATCATGAACTCCTTCATCAACGACATCTTCGAGAAGCTGGCGGCGGAGGCGGCCAAGCTGGCGCGCTACAACAAGAAGCCCACCATCACGTCCCGCGAGATCCAGACCTCCGTCCGCCTCGTCCTCCCCGGCGAGCTCGCCAAGCACGCCGTCTCCGAGGGCACCAAGGCCGTCACCAAGTTCACCAGCTCGTAGGCGAGCGATGGGATCTGCCTCAGTTCCGTTCAGGAATCATGAAGTAGTAGTGTGGTCGTGTTGCAGCGGCGGTAGTTGCCCCTGCGTCTGCTCTTTGTTCATCTCTAGTCGTCTGATTTATGTAAGAAGTAACCTGGTGTGGTACTGTGGCTGTTCATCTTTGCAATTTCTGATTGCAAATATATGTGAAATCTATCCTTGTATTCCACTGAATTTTGCTTTCGTTCTGAACCTGTATTTGCCGCTGACTCGGAAATTTCGTGTCCTGTTATCATTTTCCTGCGGCCTGTTGTCAATTTCCATTTTCTGAACTCGAGGTGGCTTGTTGGGAGATTGAGATTTAGTACAGCAAAACGCCCGTTGTTCTTCGCTGTGTTGTAAACATGGCATCTTGAGTGATTTTGTTCACTGTAGCATTCAAAACTTCGCCCCCACTTCGCATAAGTTTCAAATTGTCCGCGTCACTTCCAATTTCTCTACTGAACTCGGCATCTCCAAACGCAAAGTTCTCTGCATTCTGTTTGGGTTTAATTTCCAGTTTCTGAACTTGAGGTTGCCTTGGTGGGATATGAGATTTGGCACGCAGCAAAATGCGAGCCGGTCAGCGATTCCTCACTGTGCTGGAAATATCAACATGGCTTCAGTTTCGAGCGTCTTGGTTGCTTGAATTTCAATCTTTTGGGCCGCTTGGGCGCGATGTCCTCAGAAAGTCGAAAGCCGAAAATCTGGGCGGGAGTTTCGGAAGCCACGCTAAATTTTTGCTTTGGCGCCGAGTGGGGAGAACTGGACCTGTTGACAAATTATGCTTGGCCCAACCACCCTCAGGTGCTTAATTGCAGTCTGGCCTGGCCCATTTTAAATGTTATTATATAGGCCCACTAGTACGAGTATACTGTATTACTCCATCCGTTTCAAATTACAACTCGTTTTGATTTTTTTTCGTCTATTTTGCTACGTATATATCTAGACATATTATTATATCTAGATTCATAGAAAAATACATGTACCAAAACAATCAAATCGACTTATAATTTAGAACGGAGTGAGTACTATGCACTACATGTCTGCATTTTAGAGCCTCACGCTATAAACAAGCCATCCCAAATAAAGTACTAGACGCATGTATGTTCATCTTTATTAGCGAGATGCTAGCGTCTGGACCTCCGGATAGATGCGCGCGCCCGGACGTCCGCGCCCGCGTTTTGGGGACGCGTCGCCCTGCCCGTACCATCCGCTCGCACACATGAACTGCCCGCTTCAGCACTGCTTCCCGTGCGCACGTGGGGACCACCTGCACCCTGCTCCGTATCGAGCACACGGGGATTGCCTGTGCCTGCGCCGGCTGCTTCCCACGCTCGCTTCACACAGGAACCGTATGCACGATGCCCTAGCAGCTCCAGCAGGCGCCATCGACGAGTGAGGCCCATTGAAACATATGCAACACCCGATCTACTTTTGCAACATCTAGATGAAACATATACAACATACGTCCGAAACAACTAAAACATTTGCAACATACGTATGAAAACACTTGAAAGCCGTTGCAAGCATGTGCAACATCCAAATAAAACACTTGCAACATATGCGTGACACATATGCCATATCCAGATAAAACGTTTGCAACATATGACTGAGAAACAGATGAAACATTTAGAACAAACTCTTGCAACATGCGTGTATAGCCATTGTAACATATGCAACATCCCGATTTACTTTTGCAACATCCATGCGAAACACTTGCAACATATCTTTAAAACATCTGAAACATACAATGCAACATGCGTTTTCGCGCAACATCTCTTTGCTGCTTGCCGCACGGAGGGAGCGTAGCTACGTGCGCAGCCCAGCTACGCCAAGCCACCATGCCGCTCCTATCTAAGATCATCCACGAGCAAGCCGCCCATCAGTACGGCGACACGAAAGACATCTATGCGAGGAGGAGGCAGAGGCGCATCAAGGCAGCTGGCACAGCACGACGCCATAACAACCAGGAGGGCTACGCGGCTGTGTACGCCTAATTATAGCTGTACCTAGTAGTGAGAAGCTTTTTATAGGAGATCT